CATTATACATGAAATTAGTTCATATAAGGAACAATTTGTAACAATTACTAGTGAAAAATAACTTCATAGTAGCCGTGGAGCAAGGATTGGAGTTCTTTCTCAGAATCAAGAGGTCTGAGGTTCAATGTCGGCTCTGGCCAGGTAAGCGACATTGGTAAGGAAGAAGGTGTGAACTTCCTAGTAAAATTGCTCTTCCACGGTGCTTTTTGATTTTAAGGTCCTTAGTTTTTCTAGGTACACCTTAACAGCTAAAAAAAAAAAGTCATCGTGGTTGATTGTAGATTGTTGATTGCTGTACTTTTCAAGAATAAAATTTTAATTATTAACTTATTCTTCTGTAGACATAAAGCGGCATTTTTTGTGTGGATCTTTGCAGAATAGATTTTTCGCTGCAATGATCAATGTTTTTTCCTTTAAATAAACATTCTTCAATTGTTTTTGACGTTTAACAGATCTTTCTCTTTTTCAATATAATCATTGATATCTGATTCACAAGTAAAATGGCTGTCTTCTAATTTTAAACAATTATAATAGAATTTCTTTTTGGACGCAAATTATTTTCTATCGAAGTAAATCAAAAGCAAATTTTCACACTAGTGTAAGACTTATTTTTGTTTAAACCAATGACGTATAAATATAACTAGATGCGTGACTTGAGTTAAAAAGAGAAGCCAGCCTTCTGCCATCTTGCGGTACGACAAAAAGCTTAAATTCTGAAAGCGTTTCATAGGGATATATGACTAATTTAAATTGGATATAAGTTTTCAAAAAGGTTTTAATTGTTAAATTTTTAAGAACAACTACTTCTTTTTGAAAAATTGCATAGTTATGGTTAGTTTGTGCGTATGGGTGCCAAAAACTTGCCAAAAACTTATTTTGCTGATTTTATATTCTTTACTTCACGTATACGTTTATATAAAATATTAGTGAGTAGATCCGCGTGATCTCTCTTTGGATTATAAAATATATATTTGGATTATATATATATGAAATTTGTAAAAATTTGATACTGTTAATGCTTGTTTGAACTTATTTAAGGTTCTGACGACAAGATCCTTTGATCTTCTTTCAGATACCTTATTTTATATTTGTGAAAGTTTATTATTATCATCATTATTTTTATTTTATTTTTTTTGGCAAGTTGTAATACGACTAACAAATGTAAAATTAAAAAAAATAATAAAAAAAAAAAAAAAAAAAAAAAAAAAAAAAAAAAACAAGGCGTGTCGTTTCACAGGTATGATAAAACACTTATAATAAGTATAAGAGTTTCATCATACCTGTGAAACGACACGCCTTGTTTTTGTATTAGTATAATACTAATACAAAGTAGTTTTATATTAATACTAGCAGTATTATACTAATTCTAATTGTCGTTAGAATTAGAATAATACTAATACTAACAATACTATTTATACACTTAAAATTAATTAAAATGTTATGCTATTATTTATTGTATAAGTTATTATAAGGCATATTAATAATTGTATATTATTAATTGTGTATATTATTTTTTATTTTATTTTACTTTGTGAATTGTGCATTCCTAAACGGAAGTCATTATTTTTACGTGCATATTAATAATGTTTACATTAAACAAAAATTTATTTAAATAAGGTTTTTTGCGTACAAATATTTTTACGCAAAAATTAAATTAAATTAAAATACTTTAATCTTTTTATCGATGTAATAGTCGCGTATTTCTGTGGATGTGAAAAAAGACATTTTTTTGAGGCGCGGCCGATATATACGAAGGTTCAAATTTTCATTTGGGATTTTTTTTTTTTAATTTTAATGCCTTAGTAATTTTATTTAGTTTTAATTAGTTTTATGTTTTTTAAATATAATTGTTGTTTATATATGAATCGCTAACTTAAAAAAGGGGACATGTCCTGCAAAAATTCACATAACATGCCCCCTTTTTCAAGTTAGCGATTCATATAGTTATGTTCGTTATTTATTTTTATTTCTCAAAGTTTTATTAAATAAATGCTAAAACCGTACATAAATCAAGTGATTTAGATAAAGTCACATCATTTTTATGATGACTTACATGTTGGTCGTTTTTATGAGGACTTACATGTTGTTCAAATAATAAAAAAATCGCTGCTAGATTTTAAACTATTATCTACCTTTTATTACTACCTTTTATATACTATACTAATACTTCTACTGTTTTATTTTAGATTTTCTACTGTTAAAATATGATTTTAATTTTGTAAATTTTCACAATTTGAAATTTGCTTTTATAGTCATTATAAGTGCCTCAAGCACCTTAAACATTTAACGAATCCCCAATATCAATATGTATATATATAATATGTATGTATATACATTGAAAATATAGTAAAAATTAGTTCTCTATAGATGCTTAATTATTCAAATTAAATTTAGTTGATCAAAATGATAAAAACTTAATCAAAATTTTATGACTAATTATTGTTTAGATAAATAATTCTCTATGTTTTTAGAGTCGCGTCTTATGTTTTTGCTGTACCGCAATATGGCGGACGCTGGCTTAACTAAATTATACGCAAAAATTAAATGCATACTTTTAATTAGATATTTTTAAATCTACCTTTATTATTATACTAATACCTCTACTGTTTTATTTTAGGTTTTCTACTGTTAAAATATGATTTTAATTTTGTAAATTTTCACGATTTGAAATTTGCTTTTATAGTCATTATAAGTGCCTCAAGCACCTTAAACATTTAACGAATCCCAAATATCATCAATATTTCAAACATAATTAATGTTTAGTCTCAAATAAAATAAAATTATACAAAATTTGAAATATATATATATATATATATATATATATATATATATATATATATATATATATATATATATATATATATATATATATATATATATATATATATATATATATATATATATATATATATATATATATATATATATAGCCTACTAGATTGCGATTTTTGGGGACATGTTTTTTTTTTACTTTTGTAATACTATTTTTATCATATTTATATGTTTTTTTTAATTTTCATTTTATTTCTATTTTTATTTATACATATTTAAATTTATTATTTTATTATAAAAATATATTTTTTATATTAACTTTTGTTATTTTTATTTATTTATTTTTTATTATATTTCATTTTTAACTTCATCTATTTACAAAAACGATTAATTACAATAATATAACCAAATTTAAACCTTGCCGTAACCCTAACCCTAGGTCTGACCTTGATGCCTGGCCTAACCAAACCCTCAGTCGATGAAGCAGCACTTCCTTGCTAGTCAGGCTATTTTGTCAGTCGATGTATGTACTTTTAGTTTAGTTATATATATATATATATATATATATTGCTAGTCAGGCTATTTTGTCAGTCGATGTATGTACTTTTAGTTTAGTTATATATATATATATATATATATATATATATATATATATATATATATATATATATATATATATATATATATATATATATATATATATATATATAAATTGAAAATATAGTAAAAATTAATCCTTTATAGATGCTTAATTAATCAAATCAAACTTAATTTATCAAAATAATAAAAACTTAATCAAAATTTTATCACTAATTATTATTTAGATAAATAATTCTATTTTTATAGTCGGGTCTTGCAATATGGCGGACGCTGGCTTCACTAAGTTATACGCAAAAAGCTGCGAGACACGCATCTGGTTATGTTATACGTCATTGGTTTAAACGCAACTTTAATTAATTTTAATTGAAATCAAAGTTTATATTGCATAATTTTTAATAAAAAGTTGTGTAACTTTACACGCAGAAATACGCTGCAAAGATTTCTAGCTTATAAGTTTTTTTATATTTTTAATTGTTAAAAATAGAACTGTTAAAATAGGTCAACTAGAGGCAATTCTACAAATAAAATAAGTTTGGAATGGGGGTGGGGTGGGGCCTGGGGTGGGGGTGGTAGGGTGCATTAATCTTTAAAAAGGTCATCAAAACTAAAATTAGCCCGAATAAATTATGTCAGTTACTCGACTACCCGACTACTCCTGAAAAAACCGACTATAACTTGAAAATCACCTTCTTTGGGGGTAAGACAACCCCTCTCCCTCCCCCCCTCCTCCTAAAATTGTCTTTGAGGTAAACCACTAAAAAAATAGCAAAAACAAAATTGTTTATTGAATTTTTCTGAAAATGTTATTTAATAATTACTGGTTAAAGAAAAAATTTAGATTTTTAGACCCTCCCTAATTATAAGTTAATTACATTAACTGAATAATAACATCATAAGCTAATAACGTTTACTAACATTATGCATAACACATTACGCATATTTTATAGCGTATTTTTATTTCATATAAGCACATACTTAACACATAGTATATAACACAATAATATTAAGGGTAGAATGCAAGAAGCGAACTTGAGTCCAGCTCGACTTGAACTATACATTGCAACCAATAGCGACAGAGAGTATGGGTTTTCTCCTCAAAAAATACTCTGCCGCTATAGGTTACAAAGTAAAGTTCAAGTCGAACTTGACTCAAGCTTGCTTCTTGCATTCCACCCTAAGTTAATGGAGAAATATTGTTTTCTGAGAACAATAAAATTGTCGACATCCACATTATAAATGTGTCATAAAAGTTCTAATAATAAAAATTAGTTTAACTTTGACCACAGACAGACATAATCCCAACTAAATTAGTTTTATCCGTTAAACTTATAAAAATTCAAAAAGCAAATAGTATTTGATAAATATACGGATGCATATATATTGTTTTACTTTTTTAAACAGTAAAAAATAACTTGATTGTTCAGAGATTTATTTGAAATTATTTAATCAACACCCTGTAAAATGTCCTGGTGTACCATAAGCTCACCCCAACACTGATTATAACATAAATAATAAAAACTTATTTAAATTTTTTTGGAAACTAAATCAATGAAGCAAATATAAGCTTCATATAAATAAGGTGTTCTTTAAATTGTTATTAAATTAACAATTATTAAGAAATTACATACCAGCAGCGCTATAACCATATATCCCATTATGTACTGCAATCAGACTTGCTTTTGGAACAATTAGTACATATCGAGCTATAATTGCAGCTGTGAGTGCTCCACACACAGAAGCCAACGCTGCATATTTATTAGCAATAGCAATTCCAATAACGACCATCCATCCACCTAATGTTGTATTAATAAACATAAACTGTCCCACACCACGAACAGCAGCATCATAAAAAAAAGTAAACGAAGGAGCCACCCAATCTAACGAGACATTTTTGTTTGCCATATCTTGGGTGTAATTACTTGGTAAGCGACCCCAATGCAACGATGAAATATCACCCTTACCATTACCAATGATAATTAAAAATAACATGCATGTGATATTAAAAGACAAAGTTAAAGCAGGCAACTCGTTCATGTTTTTACTAGCCATATGAATGACACCACTAACAGCCGCTAGTACGGCATTAATGACCATACCACTAGAGTTAAACGTAGATAGCACAACATTTGATCCACGACCTGTTACCTGGTCTGCAGATATGTATGAACACACAGCACATCCTATCAAAGCGCCATCATATCTGCATTAAAAGAATATTTTTATATAGTTTAATTAAAAAAAATATTTATTTAACATAATATTTTTATCTTTGTACATATCTCATGCAAACCTGCTACAAAGAGTGTAAAAGCTGTTATCATAATACTGTTTACGGCAATGACTTGACAAGTTTAGCTTCACTTACCCTAGAAGGCCGGAACCCACTTCACTAAAGGGTGGTAACGATATAATCATAGCAGCAACTGTAGAACAAGAAGCACCAACTATTGCATATATTAACAATTTAACAGATGTTAAGTACAATCCAACACTAATCAATATTCCAGTGATTGGATGATTACATAGAAACACTTGCCCAAAACCACGTAGAACAACGTCAATAATAATTAAAAGTGTATATAAAATTCTTTCCAGATGATAAGTTAATTTTTTGAAACATTTATTGTTCTTTTTACCAAAATAACTTTTGTTATATAAATGCGTTTGTGTCTTAAGCATTGAACCGGTAAGGCATATTTCAACGAATGTTTGTTTCAACAAATTTAATATTCGATTACTTTTTTTGATTACTAATTCATTCGATTTGAACTGATTACTATTAGATTTCCATTCCTTTGTATTGTTGTTGTCACTAGGTAGTTCAAAAACAGATTCAATATTTTTATTAGATATAACCAATCTAGAATTTGAATGTTCTACTATATTTTCTGTTGTATTACCCGTTATTTCCATAATTCAAGGTATTTTCTAGAAAATTACAAAATTACACTATGTTGCACAGGAAAACTATAGAAGATCATAATATTATTATAGCATATTTAAAAAAAAACATTTGTAACCATAATATGTTTGGCAGGGTTTAACTAAAAAGCTCTGTATTCATTTAGTTGTTTAGTCATTTAATAATCTAATTAAAAAAAGCACATTGCATTGTATTATTAAAAACCCAAAAACATAAATTACGAAATATGAAAAAAAAAAACATAAGTTATTGAATGTAAACTCAATAACATAAATTACAGAATATAAATACAATTATACGAAAAAATACCTTAAATCTAAAATTTAAATTAAAAATTTAAGATAATGAGTTTAAATTAAATTTTATTTTAAGTATATTCAACTTAAATATATTCAACTTAAACTTTATCTTCTAATATAATTCAACTTAGAGTGATTTATATATAAAAACTACTTTACTATAACTTAATCAAGAACTCTTTCATAAATAAAAATTTTTCATATTAGTTTTAAATGATATGACCATTATCTTCGTTTTTAAACTATATTGACTTTATTGAGTATTGACTTTATTGAGCTCTAAATTATTTGAAAACATGTTTTTATGTTCAAAAAATTCACTAGGTAAATATATTTTATATAAAGTATTTGTGAAATATTTGTCGATACAATCAATACTTTTATTATTGTTCGCTTTTGCACTATTATAGGGTCATAAAAACACTCAGTGTTTTTTATTTTAGATAACCATAAAAGTTTACTGAATTCCAGGGAGACAGTCTACGCTGGCACTGCTTTGTACTTAAGTCAATTATTAACAATTCATTAAAAAAGCATTATTATCAGATTAGACATATATATTTAGTACAGACCATTATTATCAATGCTTTAGAGAAAAAAGATGCGGTTTAAATTCGTTGAAAACGAATTTATAGCCGCATCTTTTATATTCGTTGAAAAAAAATTAAAATGCTCATCTTTTATATTTTTTGAACTTTTTTATGAAAATTTAAAACCTTGAAAATTTTTAGAAAAAGAGGATCCTAAACTCTATTTGGCAGCATCTTTTGATTTCATAAAATATATTTTGGTAAAATTTGTAACATATTTTAGTTTATTATTGGATTCATGATAAAGAAATTTTTTTTGCAAAAATAAATTTCCCAGTGGGATGCACAAGTGACTTTTTACAAGTATTTTCCACCGCGTCCAATGTTTTAGAAAAAAACATGTAGGGATTTCTTATTTTAAATTTAAACTGCGTATCAAATCGTGATAAGGAAACAAATAATTTACAGATAATCTAAAGATGCTGTTGACGAGTTTGAGGTCAAAGGCCAAGGTAAACTTCAATTGATTGATTTGAAGGAGTTTGAAAAGTGTTTTCAGATTGTGATGATTCTCCTCTACGTTTCGAACTATGTCTGGTATGATCACTTTGTTGACCCCGGTGTACTTGTGGCTCACTTTGTGTACTTGTGGCTCCCCCCGGTGTACTTGTGGCTCCTTGGTTGTAAATCTTAAGCTGATTCACGTTCACAACAACCTTTAGAGATCCATGGCCTTCATAAATACTAAAACGTATAACATAACTAAAAAGATCCAATTTTCTGAAGGAACAAACTTCAGACAGGATTCACAAACTCTTTGATCAGACGAATCAAAGAAACTATTATTTCCGTAAGATACAATCTTTTTTGTCTTTATTGACAGAAAAATCTTTTACTTTCTAAATGAATTCTTGCTTTTTGCAATTTATTTCGAAACAAAACGTTTTTCCTTAGTATATACAAGATTATTATCAGACGATTCATGTAATTTATTGAGACTAATTTGTTTAAGTTGCATTTGTATTTTATTGCAGTTGTATTTATGTCATTTCTCTAAATTTTGATATTAGTTTACTATTAATTCGCATTTAGTCTCTAAACTAAAATAACTTTAACTTGAAGCACAAACCACGTGTTTTGCAAAATGGAGCAGAAATACTCTTAAAAATCTCTATTGCGTTCTCCTGGTTGAGAGAAATTATTTTTGGCTAATAATAAAAATAAAATAAGGTATAAAGTTATACACAGTATTTTACTCAGTCAGAAGTAAAAAAAAACTAGAAATATGCGTATTATAGTAACTAAATACAGCTTTGAATTAGAATTTTATGGTTTCGCTATTCACATAACGACGATATGTGAATAACGATTATTCGCAACGTTTTATTACACAGACTAATCAGTTTAGCAAGCAAATTTTAAAGATTGCTAGAAAATGGAAGTTGTTGTGGAAGTAAGTTCGTTTATTACATAATGTTTTTTCGCAAAAAAACTTTTATCAAACTTTTTTAAAAGAATAAGAACTTTTTTCGAAAGTTCTCATCCTTATCGTCTTTTGACTTATATGCATAAAAAAAGTTTTTATTGGAAAAAAATAATTTATTATTAGCTATATTTTCCAATCAATAGTGGTAAAGACTGGATATTAAAAATAAAAATGAGAGACCATGACTGTCTGAAGACTTTTTATGACTAACAAGGGTAATCCATTGCTTTAACATTTGTAGCTACTGAATAATTATAGCAGTTTCTGAAGAGCATAAATGTGTTCTGAAGATAAAATAAAATATAATATAAATGCTATAAATGTGTTTAAATCAGAAAAATATTACAAGTTTTAAACATTTTTAAAGCTATTTTGATTAAAGTTATAATATAAATTGTTAACACAAGTGGGCATTTAAGCAAAAAAAATTTAAAGCAAAATTATATCTAAATGTCATCGAAGCAAATTCCAATTTACTCAGTTTAAAGTTAGATTTACACTTAATCAATTTTAGACGTCAGAACTCATTCTAGTGTTTAGTATTTCCGCGTAAAACAAAATCTTCCAATATTAGTGAATAACAAAGATGTTTTGTTTTGCATTTTCCACCAGCTACATTGGACTATCTGCATTATTTGGGTGGATAGATTTTAAATAATATGCTTTTAAAAATGTGAGCCACTTTACAAATTTTTTTCACATTTAACTGTTTAAAGTGTTGTACATATTTTTAACTAATTACAACAAGACAAAATCAAATAATGCACGTTGGACTTTGTGTCAAAACTTGAATTGATATATATATATATATATATATATATATATATATATATATATATATATATATATATATGTATATATATAAATGTATATATATATATATATATATATATATATATACATATATATATATACATACATAATATATATATATATATATATATATATATATATATATATATATATATATATATATATATATGTATATATATATATGTATATATATATATATATATATATATATATATATATGTATATATATATATATATATATATATATATACATATATATATATATATATATATTAGGCACTTTAATTTATATATATATATATATATATATATATATATATATATATATATATATATATATATATATATATATATATATATATATATATAGTATATATATATATATATATATATATATATATATATATATATATATATATATATATATATATATATATATATATTATATATATATATATATATATATATATATATATATATATATATATATATATATATATATATATATATATATATATATATATATATATATATATATATATATATATATATATATCAGTGCCAACGATGCGGGTTTCGAAGTGGGGCGGGGGAGGAGGGGGCGGTGAAAGCACAATCGTCAATTCTTTAAAAAAGTCTTCTTTATCTAGAATTTTCTTATATATAAAAAAAGAGGTCCTTTAAAAAAAAAGTGTGTGAGGGGCGGGGGGGGGCACTATATATATACATATATATATATATATATATATATATATATATATATATATATATATATATATATATATATATATATATATATAGTAGTGGAATAAGATAAAGATATACATTTATACTATATATATATATATATATATATATATATATATATATATATATATATATATATATATATATATATATATACATATATATATACATATATATATATATACATATATATATATATATATATATATATATATATATATATATATATATATATATATATATATATATATATATATATATATATATATATATATATATATATATATATATATATATATATATATATATATATATATATATATATATATATATATATATATATATATATATAGCAAAATAAATACCATGATATTTACTAAGCAAAACTCATCTTAAATTTATTTAAATTATAAATAGCAAAATAAATACTATACAAACATAAGGTCGTGCAAAAAACATTGTTTCTGAGCAAGTTATACAAACATACAGGGCCGTTTCAAAGAGACGGCCCTGCGGACATAGTGTAAATCTTTTATAAAAGTTTTTAAAGATTTCATTTAAAATTTTCTTGAGAAAAGTGTTCAGCGATATTCAAAATTACATTTTCTAATGAAAATGGTCCGCGAAATAAAATAAAATTTTTCTCAAAATTATTTTAAGAAAACGACTATCAAATTATATTATTATTTCTTAAAAAATGTTTATTTTATCTCTTACAAACTGTGAACAGGCAAAGATTTGATTTTGTATTTATTCATAGAATACACGGCAATAATACTTACCTCGAATATATAGACGGCATTTATTTATTATAAATGAGGGTTGACATGAGCAAAATAATCATTGAAATTTATATGACCTACTAGATTCTTTTGTTGTCGATAGAGAACTTTACTCATAGTTTACAAGTTTTATCTCATGCAATGTTTGCATAGTTGATAAAACAATCAATTAAAAAGTACTCGAGTTTACTTTTTTTTTAACTTTCTTGTCGTATAACAATATTTACAACGAGATAGTTAATATAAAATAAATAGCCGGAGCAAGAAGAAGAATTATACCGTCTTATCGCCAAGCCATTTACAATATCACCATTATTACAAATTAAAAATTAACAATCAAACAAAAATTTAAAAAAAGAATTTTTTTTTAGTAAATTACAGTACATTCCACGCAGATATTACAAACGCTAAACAGTATGATAAAATATTAAAAATAAACAATACAATAAGTTTTTTTTATTTTAATACGAAATAAAAGTCAGATAATCAAGACAAAAATAAGTGAGTAGTGATGACTTTTTAAGTTTAGTTTATTTAGTTTTTGATCTTGTTTTAGAAAAAATATTTAAATTCAAAGTTTTTTTTTTTTTTATAAAAAACGTTTACGTTGTCTTTTGAATTTTTCTAAAGAGATGTTTAGAAGAGTTTTGTTTTTAATAATATTTTGAAAGAAATTTTTTCACAGAAATGATCCACGATACAGGTCCGACGACACGGGTTTCAAAGTGGAGGGGCACAATCGTCAATTTCTAAAAAAAGTTCTTTATATCTAGAAATTTCTTTTAAAAAAAGTAAAAAAAAATGTGCTTAAGAAAAAGGTAGGGGAGACCTTGGAGCCTTGGACCCTTGGAGGGTTTTGATTTGTCGAAAAAACCCCTGGAGGGTTTTGGTTTGGTCAGATCTAAAAACGTCTTCTCTAAAAAAAAAAAAATGTCGCTTCACAAAATCGAGACCCCTCCCCATCGTAACAAATGTTTACGAAATCGCCTACCCCTTCCCCCTCTCTAAGCGTGACGTAATTTATGGACAACCCCTAAGACGTCCTTACGATCTTATCACAGAGCACCGCGGATGAGCATTTAATAGGAAGTCGACGCTTCCTTCATAAACGATGTCGCAAAACTAGCCCAGAGGTGTGATTTGAATCACGGATCTTTTGTTTCTAAGGCAAGTGCTCTACCACTGGGCACGGCTGTCACACCATATTTTACTTATACTAATGTAAAATTTATTGACAGAAGTGTTAGTAGGATCATTGGAACTTATATTAGCTTAGTATACTATGTTTATATATATATATATATATATATATATATATATATATATATATATATATATATATATATATATATATATATATATATATATATATATATATAAAATTTTTTATTTGCGTTTTCACAAAGATTTTAGCAAACATGAATAATAAGGTGTTTGTTGTTAAACGTCTTTCACAAACTAGGTAGTCGCACAAGCAGATGCAACGAGTAGTTCAACACCAACGTCTTGGCGTTGAACTAGTGTTGGAAATGTTGGAAAGTGTTGGAAACATTATCAACAATTGTAGAGTGACCTTCAACAATACCGAAAATAGTTACCTAAGCACGTTTACTTATTTGGCCACTTAATTGACTGGAAATAGCACAGCTGTGCAAACTATAGAATGATATTTTAACAAACGTTAAAATAGTTAGACAATGTCAAACAACAAATATTTTCGTGCAAGATCTGATTACTACCATTGTGATTTGGAATCTGATTTTATTGATGAGATCATTGTGTTGTTTGAAATGCTAAAAAATGAATACAAACCAAGCAAAATTAGTAAGACACATGCTGCTGCTTTCCCAATTGTATGCATATCACTTTGGATTTATTTGAGCATCTAGGCCATTTTCTGTAAAGGAGAACGTTCCTTTTCAACAATAAAATGAGTGAAAAATTGTTAAAGGACGACAATAGGTTAAGAAAAGATAACAAATTTTTCACTTTTCTGAATTTAATACGATTTGACAAAAATTATAAATGTAGATCATTTAGTTTTCTATATTTAACACAAATATAGTTATTAATTTGTATTAATTTATTTGTATTAACTTTTTGATAATAACTTTTTGATAAGAAACTTTTAATTTAACAACAAAGAAGATTATTCTCTTAATTTAACAACAAATGTTTTTAAAGAAGATGTTTGGACTAGAGACATACCTGGTACTAACCTACAATATTTAAAATTATGTTTTGCTCCAGGCCTACAAATTGAGTAATCCCTGCTATCACTCATCGTCACCTCCCACACTGAAAACACTCATGCTGGCAGCAATTGTAGCAGGAATAGGCAACAACTTTTTAGCAATCAATGCCATTGTCGGAAAACTATGTTCACGGTCATTGTCTTTCCAGAACTGCACCACATGCTGTGCGGGCAGTGCCAAGTATTTGCCAAATTCATGTCTTGTGTAACTACTGTCTGCCTTAGACAATGGAGTAGCAGCTGTTTAAAAGTCTGGAAGCAAATCAAATGATTTAGGGTCAGAGTTACTTTTATTTGAAAGAGGCAGTTGATCTGAATGACTGCATTCAATAAAGTTGTCAATATCTATACTGCCTGAGTCCTTGCGTATTACCTGATGTTTTGAAGAAGAAATAGCTTTGTCTAGGATACTACGCATTTCTGAATAAACAAAATTACAATCTAAAGATCAATAAGTGTTGATAGTCAGTGCAAAGGATGAAAAATATACATTTCATGCAAGCTGGACAAAAAAACTACAATCAAATTAGGCATACACTGTCTGAACCATTAATCTTACAGACTGACCGTAAACAAAATAGCATTAGCCATACATCAGAGGATGTCGGGGCATTTTCATGAGACAACCCGGGCATTTTCATGAGCCTTGTAAAAGGAATGCAAAAATTCAACGTTGTCAGACAACAATTTTTCATTAACGTTTTTCAGTTGCTCAAATTTGTTAAATTGCTTTGAATCATCAAGAATGGGCTTGGCATTATTTAATTGGCATTAAAATGAATGCAAAAGAAAAAAACTGGCTGTTCCAACTAGTTGAAACATCCTGTTTGAGATTTCAAAGCATTATTAATAGCTAAGTTCAAATTATGACCTGCACAGCTAAATCTAACATCTTTGCAATAGACTAATTTCATATTATTCCTATTATCAGTCATATTTTACGTAATATATATATATACGTATACGCATATTTTACATATAAAATATTTAAGTACTATTGATAACTAAGAACTTAAAAAAAAACTATTAATTATACCTTGTAACTAATAAAAACCCGTTTAAAGAACAAAGCACTCATTTGCACATGTAGACCATTTAGTCTGTGAGAGACTTTTTGGAATCTTTTCATATTTTTCCAGTTATAATATCAAGACATCCGAGCAATGCGTTGAAACAGTAAAAAGGTTATCTAGCTGTTGAAGATAGTCTAAGAATAAAGCAGCTGCAACATAAGTTTCAGATGCTGCAACAACAACCAGATTCAAGGAATGACCGGGGCATTGAACATATTCAGTTAGTTGATAAGATTCCTTTAAAATAAGCTAGCAACTCAGTGTAGACCCCACGCATATTGGAGGCATTATCATACGACTGCCGACCGCACTAATGTTGATGCAGTGCATCTCTAATGCTTTTTTGACAAGATTAAGCATATCAGCTACTCCGTGATAACTAACAAACATAAATAACTCTTTTGAGACCGTCACAAAGTTCCAGCTTTGTCATGGGTTTCAGACCTTGAAAAATCAGTGGCGTTGACCTCTCTTTTTGGTAATTTGCTATAATGATCTTATTCAGGCTAATGATTCGACCTATATAGCCGGTAGAAAATGCTTCGACATTCTGAGCTGGTTTTTCGCTTAAAGGTTGCATCAACCACCTTTTTAATAATGCATTAGATTATTTTTTTACGAAAAATATTTTCAACTTTGAAAAGAATGCAACACTATTTAAGTTTCCAAGTCATTTTAAATTTTTCTATTTGATTCTTTTTCCTCTGGAATTTCTCTTGCTAAGCTCATCCATGTTAATGTTATTCATTTAATACTTTAGACTTCTACTTATTTTTTTATTCTGAAAGTTCTGATGCATTTTCACTAATATTTTCACTTAAAAAAATTATTTAAATAACTTTACTTTTAAAAAAGAATTTAGAAAAAAAGAATTCTTTTTTAAATTCGTTTCGCCATCCTTTTTCGCAGACTTATTTTTTGTCTCCAATATGTATACAAAAAGTTACTTTAAAAAAAAAATAGATTTAAAATTTAAAAATAAAATATAAAGAGTAAAGTGACATCTTTGTAAATCTTTATAATTCATTAAAAATTTTTTTTTTAATTAATTAAAAATAACAATTGTTTCTTGCTGGTCTCTCCAAACGCCCTGGCCCCGCAGCGGCTGCCTAAACTGGACATAGATAAAGACGGGGCTGCACAATTTTGAGACTTGAGATTTTTCTATGACGTAATCTAATTGAGCAATTGGAATAAAATTTTAATGCTATTTTGATTTTTTGACGTTTGAGCGGTTTTATTACAAATACTCCACTGTGCGGCGCACAGAGGAGTTTGAGCGGTTTTGTTACAAATACTCCACTGTGCGGCGCACAGTGGGACAGAAATGCTTCAAAACTGGACATTTAAAGATAATAAAAAAAGGCGTTATGAAACATTTTTTAGTGGTAATTTATAAAAGAGTCTCTGGTCCATCTTATCATCGTCTACTTTTTAGGGTAAGACTGACCTTCAACTCTGTAGAACCCATAATATAGCTCAATTCTTTTGTTTAAAAAATAACTCGCTCGAGTGAGTTATCAGTAATACTTTGTTTTTATACTGTAAATACTGAAGTTTGTTAAAAGTTCCAAATTTTTATCTGGGATTCTTCAATTTTAGGTTTTCTGTCATCGTCTTTTAATAAAAAAAAAAAAAAAAAAATGATTTTAAAGTGTTTAAAATATTCATTAATAGGTCTTTTAAAAAAGAAGTGCATTTAAAAATATTTCATTTTTATTCTTTTTTTTTTTAAAATACCCTTTTTGTTTATGTCCTTACTTAGATACAGTTTCAATTTTTTTTTTTATGAAATTGCTAATGATTACAGATTGTAAAACTTTTTTTTGTTTTTTTGTTTGCACTTTCATTGAGCCCTTTTCTGAGGGCCGACGACACGGGGGGAAGAGACCCATGTGCCCTTCCCCCCTCCCCACTTTTTTTTGAAGTATATTTATATATTTTTTTTTCTTAAGAAACTTCTAGATATAGAATTTTTTTTAAGAATTGACAAATGTGCCCCTCACTTCAAAACCCGTGTCATCGGCCTTGTTTGTATGAATAAGTGGAAATGTGTCAACTACATCAGTAGAAACCAGGTAACAAAACCAGGTCATGAACGCTTGAACTAATGACGTTTTTTTTTTTTGTTTGAGCAAATTTAAGCGAATAAAAAATATCAAGTTTTTGAGTAACTTTTTTTAAGTGACTTTTTACATAAAATTTGAATTGCTGAAATTTATTTTAGTGAATCGATTAGAATACGTTTTCATATTAATTATTTATGCAAGCTTTTAACTTTTTTCCTTTTTATATTATTACTTTCCGGTTTTTTTAAAAAACGTAACTCGAAGTTATTCGAAAATACATTAAAAATGTTTGACAATTGTAAATTTTTAAAATATGTCCTTACAATAATTATTTAATTTAAAAATCCAAAACAAAAATTAATTAATTTTGTCGCTTTTCTGCCCCACTGTACGGCGTGATTATTTCGATAAAAGTTTCCAATTACAGCCGCAACTGCTAATTATTGTCGGTTGCTATCCGACATTAAGATAAACTAGTAGATTGTTTTAGTTAATTAAGGAATTAAAATATTCTTGCAAAAATTATATTATTGATTTTTTTGATTAAATATAGTTAAAATATTTTGTCGCGTTTTAGTCAAGAGAATAATTTGTTCCAATTGCGTACAAAGTTTATCTGTGTTAAATTTATCATTTCTATACTGCCTGTTTTAAGCCAACCCTTACTTAACCTGTATATTTATTTGATCTTCAGGGAGAATTCTGCTTGCAAACTAATTTAATAATGTTTGAAATATATTTAAATGCATAATTTAAATACTTGTGCTTTTATGTGTAGTTTAATATCTATGACTGATAATAGGGTGGCTTTTTATTTTAACAGAATTGTATATTAAATATACAATTCTGTTAAAATAAAAAGCCACCCTATTATCAGTCATAGATATTAAACTACTCATAAAAGCACAAGTATTTAAATTATGCATTTAAATATATTTCAAATATAATATCAAATATAATATTTATATATCAGTATTTATATATCAAATATAATCAATATTTCTTATTACAAATATAATCAATATTTATATATCAAATATAATATTTGAAGCAAATATTTTGTCGATACCTTACTTTGTTTGCTCTCTTATTTTAATCATAATGCTTAAAGTTAGAACTTATATGTGTTTGAGTCTATATTTTTATTCAAGATATTATTTGTATAAATTAAAAAATATATATATTTAACATGTTATATTATTATAATATAACATGTTATATTATTATAATATAACAAAATATAATTTATATGGTAATATATAATAATTATATATTACCATATAAATTATATTTTGCAATATATTTTACAAAGATAAAATGAAGTTATATCAAGTGAAGATATCCCCATGTTGCAGAGCTGTGTGGCTGTATTGTTTACATAATAAATTAGACATTGAATTAATTGATGTGGATATATTTGGAGGTATGTAAACTGTATATGTTTGCACATAATAAATTTCTGTTATAAGCAGAACTATGTTATAATGATTTTTTTATTTATTATGACAATGTTAGGACAGGTGGGCTTCTTAGCTATGATATAGGCAAGTTACATAAGAGAATGGAAACTCTGATATAAAACCAAGACTCCAACTGCATTGGAGTCTGTGAACAAGTTGCAAAGAGTTATCTGACCACTAGCAAAATAGATTTACAGTATGTGAATCACTACTTTTTAGTTTTAATATGTTGCTCGAAAACCAAATCTGGATTCAGATAGTAAAGTTTTTCCTCATCTTCATTTTCATTTATATTATTTAGGTATTAATAGTAATAATAAAAAAAGATCAGAATTGTCAGTATAATATTTAGTTAATATTTTTCAAGCATAAAAAAGTAACCATATTGGCTATTTTTTTGAAAAGTAGGAAAACTATTTCCTTTCAACTAACACATCAATAACATTTGTAGTTTTGTTTTTATTAATTTAATTTCATCAAAAAAAAAAATAAAAAACATGGAAAACTGAAAAATCTTTAAAAGATGATATAGTCATTTTTTAATTGATTTGATTTTTTTCTTCTTAACTATTGTTCTTAATTATTTTAGTTTTGTATGTTTTAGTATGTCCAAAATGATTTGATGATTAATTTAAGTCTAATTTTTAGCTCAATTGTTCAATATATAGTACATTCTTAAGTCTATTTTTTATTTAATGGGCCCCTAATGTTACAGGGTTCCCACTATTCCTTAAAAACCTTAAATATCATTCAAAAAAATTAAAATTTGAATACTCTTCTAAATTTCTCCTTACTTTCTTTTTTTATCACCTAGGAAATTTTATTAAAGCAAATGGATTATACTTATCTATAATCTTATATATATTTGTCAATTCTGATTGAATGCTTGGTTGTTTATTCCCAGTTAACAGCCAGACCGTTGGTCTTGAAAACTTGAAATTTGGCATGGATGATCCCCATGACCCAGGGAGTGACATAGGCTTTGTCAAGTTGACCTCGGAGGTCACTGGAGGCTGCCCGGGGTCGCAGGGGCTTTCAAATGGTCATTTCTTGGTTGGGGGGGGGCAGATAGAGTGTTCAATGTATATAAAATCCCTTGATGGAAGAACTTTTGGTGTGTGCACCAAGAGGCTCTGTGGCGGTTTTTTTATAGTACCCAGGATTGAGAGTTTTTTGGTTAAGTAATTGATTTTTGGAGAATGGGTTTTCTTTGTATACTAACAAGTTTGCTTTGTTTTGCTGGTGTCCAGTGACGCGGGCACCTCTGCTAGTTAAGCATATAGTTACTTTTTTGCACTTTTGTTATATATAGGAAATTTCATGTGAAAACATTCAGTTTTTTTTAAAAATACAACCATTAATCTCAGATTTTGCTGATTTTTAAACCACTTGAAGATTTTAGTAAATTATGAATATCCTGAAAATTTTATTGTCTAATTTCAATCGGTTTCTAAGATATAGCTATTTTAAGTTTGCCTCCAACCAACAAAAATCTGCCATTTTTAAAAATGGTTTTGGTCCTAGTTTCTGTTATATGAGTGTTGGAAAGCTGAAAATTTGTATCTTTACATATTTTGGGCCAACGAATCCAATAAAACAACTTAAAATATTTAAAAACAAAAAAAACACCTAAAATTTGAAAGTTTACCACAATTTTACTGGGGCGAGTCCAATCACAAAAATGCCTATGTAGCTTGATTTTTTAAAATAGTTAAGCTATAGTTACTACAAAGAATATGAGAGTGGTCTTTTCTAAAACAGAAATAAAAATATGGTCAAATCTACTTAAATTTATTGCTTTAAAAACAGGTATTATGACAAATTAAACAAGAAAAAAATGTAGTAATTTGACAGTTTTGTAACTGAAACATCAAGGTGTTCTTTTAGTTGTTGTTGACTAGCTGTTTCTAATTTCTTTGTAATTTTTTTAGAATCTGATCTTAAAAAAATTTAGGTTCAAAGGGGGAGAATTATATAAATGCAGATGTATATTGCAAATTTAGTTTTTTTTCAGAAGTTGCATTAAATAGTTTAGTTGGAGTTATTACAAAGAATCAGATTGCGGTCTTAAATCAGAAATAAAAACATCTTCAAATATACTTAAATTTATTACTTATAAAACATTAGTTTCATATTTATCAAACTTCATTTAATAAACTTAAAAAACAGACTCCAAAACAAATAGAACACTTTTTTTTTTTTATTTGCTTTCACTCCCAACAAGGCTGCAAGCAACCACTATTAAGTTGGGAGTTACTAGGTAAAAAAAAAAGAACAGAATTATAGAGCAAAGAAACGGTTGACAGAAGACTTGAAAAGTTGAAGGTTGTATAAGTCAGGAAAACATGAAGATGGGAGAGAGTTCCCAAGAATTGAAGTGTGGGGAAAAAAACTAGATGAATAAAAGTTTTTAGAGCATGCAGGGACAGATACAGTAAACAAATGAGACTTGGCTGAATGACGAGTAAAACGAGAATGAATTTTAGTTGATGGAACTAGAGATGATAACTCCTTTGAGCAGTGACCATGATAGTATTTGTAGAAAAGAGAAAGAGATGTAACTTTACGACGATGAGAAAGAGGCTCAAGTTTAGCAGATAGTCCAGGTCCAACAACATTTACAATGCGTTTTTGGACCTTGTCAAGAAGAGAAAGTGAATCGTTAGAAAAACCAGCCCAAATATGACAACAGTATTCCATACAAGGAGGAATAAGAGATTTGTAGAGGTAGAGAATGGAATCAGAAGTAAGGAAATGGCGAGCACGATAAAGAGAAGCAACGTTAGCAGAAGCTAATTTAGCAATCGATTGTATATATGGTTTCCATGAAAGGTCAGTAGTAAGCGATAATCCAAGAAGATGTAAAGAGGAGGACTCAGTAAGAGGATTGCCATTCATTAATATAGGAATGTTGACCATATTACAGTAGTTGTTTGGAGTAAACAACTGGGTTTTGTTAGAGTTGAAATTCACAAGCCACTGTGAACCCCAATCTATTACTGAAATGAGATTGGATTCAAGATCAGCTACTTGTTCTAGGTGATCGAAAAGAGAAGACTTTTTGTCAAGACAGGAGTATAAAGTTGAGTCATCAGCAAAAAGAGCTACTTTAGATGAAAGGTTGTCAGGAAGATCGTTTATGTAGATAAGAAACAAAACAGGTTCCAGGATGGAACCTTGGGGAACCCCAGAAGTTACTGGAAATAAAGAAGAGTGTTGACCTTCAAGGATGACTTGAATAAACCGGTTAGAAAGAAATGATTTGATAATCTCAAAAACTTTCCCAGAAACACCATATGAAGCAAGTTTATGGAGAAGACCAGCATGCCAAACTTTGTCGAAAGCTTTAGATATGTCTAGAGCAATAGCCCTAGCCTCACTGCCTCCATCTAAAGCAGGATAAAATCTTTCAGTTACAGCAGTTAGCAATTCGGCTGTAGAGCGAGAGGATCGAAAACCGTATTGATTGTCTGACAGTAGATTAATTGACTCAAGATGAGATGTGAGGAATTTGTTGATCAAAGACTCAAAGACCTTGCTAATAACAGAAAGAAGACTGATCGGGCGATAATTGGAGGGGTCAGAATTTTCTCCAGAGTTTTTGAATATTGGAACCACAGATGCCATTTTCCAACAAGCAGGAAAACAAGACTCAGTCAAACACTTGTTAAATAGTTTAGAGAGAATTGAAGAAAGTTCTGGAGAACAATTCTGCAAGACTGTGACAGGAATGTTGTCTGGACCACAAGCTGTAGACAAGTTTAATTGAGATATGACTTTAGCAACAGAAGCCGGAGTGATTTGAATGTCTAACAATGGGTCAACCTGTTTGACTGGAATGGAAGGAAGAGAATGTCCATAAGATTCAAGAGTGGAATTAGAAGAAAAGTTCTTTGCAAATAGTTCTGCCTTATCCTTGGGAGAGGTAATAAGATCAGTCCCATGAATGAGAGATGGAATGTTAGATCTACCCTTATTATTAATGCTGTTGAAGATTTTCCAAAAGTTTTTAGAGTCTAACTTCTGTGATAAGATGCGAGATTTAGTGAACTGAAAATAATGGAGTTTAGCATCAGAAAGCACCTTTTTACATCGATTTCTTGCAATAATAAATAACCTTTTGTTCTCAAGAGAGTTATTCTTTTGAAAAAGATGAAAAATTGATTACGATTGGATATAGCAGCTGCACAAGAAGGAGAAAACCATGGAGTAGAATGAGGCTTGACTTGAAACCGACGTGAAGGAATAAAAGCTTCCATTCCAGCCTGAATCCAGGAGGTTATGTAGGAGGCGCATTTATCAGCTGAGAGAGAAAAAACATCAGCCCAAGGACCATCACGAAGAAAATCACAAAAAGAATCCCAGTCAGCTTTAGGGTAGTAGTAGGTGGTGCGATGATAAGGTGAGCCCAAAAAAGAAGTACGAGAAGAAAGATTTTTAGAGATCATTGCATGGTCAGAACCACTTAAAGGAGAAAAGGGAGAAACTGAACATAAGCTAGGGTCAGAGTCAAGACATAAGTCAAGGAGTGAAAGCAAATTATTAGGGTTGTCAGGAAAACGAGTCACAAAGTTAACTATCTGAGTAAGAGATTGAGAAACGCAGAAGTTAAAGGCTTTAGCGCCAGCAGGATCAGTAGTGTTAGAGCCAAGCCATTCAGTGTGATGGGCATTAAAATCACCAACAACAACAATATTGTCAGAGGGGTAAAGAGAGAGGGCATGGTCAATTTGATCAGAGATAATATCTAAAAGAGTGCAATCATGGGAAGAAGGAGAACGATAAAGAACAAAGAGAAAGGTGATAGAGTGAAGAGGTGCTAGGCGAAAGCACATAAAAGAATGGTCAAAGGATTCGAACCTGATTTCACGACGAATAGGGGAATTAATGTGTATGTATACCCCTAAACCTAGCATGTGACTATTGGAGTCTTTACAAATCAAAGGATAGTACCCATCAACAT